CACGTTCGCTCCGCCCCGGGGAGACTGACGGGAACGCGCGCGGCCGAGGAGACTCGGGGTCCGCGGCTCATGCGCAGTACCGCTGGCCGCCTCCCGCGCCTGCTCGCTGGGAGGCCTGGGGGACACCTGCACAGAACAGGTGCCAGTGCCCTGTGACCTCACGGAAACACATGGGGAGGGTTTCTCCTCATCCAGGGCTATTCGGTTCTCCTTGTAATTTTTTATTTTATTGTAAAGTAGGAGCCAATATGGATGGTTGACAACTCCTTTGAGCATTCTACAGACTGCCAAGAAATATCGTATCTGACAAAGCATTTGATATCCAGAACATAACTCATTAAGAAAACGAGAATCCAATAGGAAAAGAGGCAAGATTTTGAATGGACGCATCCCAAAGGACAGCTGTTCAAGGAATAGGTGAAAAGTGCTGAAGAACTGCAATAATCATTTGGAAAGTGGAAGTTGAAACCACAGTGCAGCAACATTTCACGTCGACCAGAATGGATAATGTAGAAAAGACAGAAAATGCGAAGTGATCTGGGTTGCAGGTGATGAGATAGAGGTGTTGTTGTTGTTGTTTTCCAAAGTGGCACAAATGGAAGTCCTATACACTGCTGAAAAAACACTATGGGGGGGGGGAATCTTTAGACAGTACTAGAATTAAAAACCCAGAACTAGACTTGCTTGGTACAGGCAGGCATTGTGCCACTTGAATCAAACCATCAGACTGTTTTACTTTGGTTATTTTTGAGATGGTCTCTCTTTTGTTTTGTTTTGTTTTTTTTTTTTGCTAGGGTAGATCTAGACTGCAATCTTCCTATTGAGATGACAGGTATATACTACCACACCCTGCTACTTGGTTGAGATAGGGTGTGATTCAGATCTAGCCTTAAAGAACAGTCTTCCATGTCACTTCCCAACTAGCTAGGATTACAAATTTCCCAACAACCAGCTGGGAAATTTTTTTTTTATTTTTGGTGGTTGTGGGGCTTGAACTCTGGGCCTGGGCTCTGTCCCTCAGCTTTTCAGCTCAAGGCGAGCGCTCTACCACTTGAGCTACAGCACCACGTGTAGTTTTCTAGTGGTTTATTGGAGATAGGAGTCTCTCGGTCTCTCCTGCCCGGGCTGGCTTTGAACCGAGACCCTCAGATCTCAGCCTCCTGAGTAGCTAGGATTACAGGCGTGAGCCACCTGCGCCTGTCTGGGAAAAATTTTTGATCATATGTATTTTGACTGAATTGTGATGGGGGAGGGGAAGGAGGGCAGTATGCATTATTGCTGCATGGTTTAGGACCCAGAGATACCACTCCTAGGTCTCTACCTCTTGATTTGCTCACTGAGTAGGTAGCTTAAATAATAACTTCTCACAACTGTACAGGCTAAGAGGTCCTAAATTGAAGATACTGTCCAGTTCATTCATTTTTGCTTTTGGGGAGGGGGTGAAGGTAGGTGAGCATTGCTATGGTTTAAACTCAGAGCCTCGTGCTTGGTTAGCTTAGCTTGCTCTGCTAGCACTCACTCTTCCACTTGAACCATATCTCCAACCTGGATTTTTGCTTGTTATTTTCAGATGGAGTCTAACAAAGTTTTCTTCCCATGCTGGCTTTGAACTGCAATCTTCTGAATCCCAATTTCCTGAGGAATCAAGATTAAAGGGATGAATCACCTGCACCAAACACTCAATTGTTTTTGTCTTTGTTTTTATTTTGTCCATCCTGGGGCTTGAACTCAGGTCCTGGGTGCTGTCCTGGGCCTCTCTGTACTCAAAGCTAGCACTCTACGCCACAGTACAACTTCTGGCTTTTTCTGAGTAGTTTATTGGAGATAAGAGTCTCATGGACTTTCTGCCTGGGCTGGCTTAGAACCTCAGTCCTCAGATCTCAGCCTCCTGAGTAGCTAGGATTACAGATATGAGCCACCAGTGCCCAGACCAAATGGGTTCTTGATCAGTGTTTCTTTCTGCCTTTCTGATGGCTGCCTTGTGTTTGTGTCCATTCATAATTCTATAAGATTTGGGCTCTATCCGGATAACCTTGTTTATCCTATTTTACCACCTCATAGGCCCTATTTCTAAGTACAGTCATAGTAATCCTTCAGCATATGAATTTCTGTGTAGAGGGAAACACATTTAGTCCACAATACCTAGTATAAATTATATATGTATATTTGCCAGAACTCATTTGAATATTTATAATAGTCAATTTAGAAATTATAGGCCTATCAATAGTAGCAGAAATTAAGTGTAGGTAATACTATACAGAATACTAGAAAACTATACAGTAGAATACTATAGAATACTATACAGAATACTATACAGTAATGTGCTCATGTATAAATCACATATAACACATATCTCACAAATAGAATCCAGGCATGAAAAGAAAAATGGCAAAAATCTTACCTTTGCTCTTAGAAGGCAGGATAGTGATGATTACCATTAGCAGAGTAGGATGAGCTAAGAGCCAAAGACTTTTGGTTTAAGGATGCAGGACCGTGGAAATAATGCTGATTCCTACTCCACAATGCTTTGATGTAATCACAGGTAAGGAAGTCACAGACCCAGGTTTCCTCAGCACTAAGAAACTGCTTCCTGGTTCATGCTCTCTAAGTCAAGCTTAGTACTAGAAGTGACTTGAGGTTAGCAAAATGAGCTCCCTGCCCATAGCTTAGTCCACTCCTTCCCTTCTCCAGAGCTTAGCATGCTCCCTTCCTAGGCAACACTAGGCCCAGGTAGTAAAGGCAGCAAATAATCAACTTCCAACCCCCTGTACCTTGGGATGGCACTTCTCTGGGGTAGCTACCACTGTATGAGGCAAAAGGGGCCTCTTAGTGACCTTCAGGTCTGAGCAGGTGCAGGACCCTTATCTTCTATTTGGATAGCAGCCATAAATCCTAGTCTGCCATGCTGAAGCTCCTGGCCTACACGTCCACACCAGGGTCTCTATCTCCTAGCCCCTTCTAATTCCCCCTAGGGTTTTTGGTCACCTCAGACAATAGCCAGTGCTGCTTCTTACTTCTTCCTTGTGAGGAGTCGTCTGGACCCCTTTCCTGGCAATAAACCTGTCTTTGTTCTCTGTACCCGGATGTCTCTGTGGTTCTCTGGCAAAGTCTAATTAATCTTTCATTTAATCTTACACTTGAGATACCCCAAAAGCTGGCTGGACGTTGGTTAATTCTCCTCTCACTCTCAGCAGTACAAACACTGCTTGCTGCTCTCTGTATCTATACCCTGTGTCACATCTTTAGGATCAGAATGTGTGTGTGTGTGTGTGTGTGTGTGTGTGTGTGTGTGTGTGTGTGTGTGCATGCGCACGCGGTATGCACCAGTACTGGGACTTGAGCTCAAGGTCTGGTAAATGACACTTAGCTTTTACTGCTTAATACTGGTACTCTACCACTTGAACCACAGCTCCACTTCCAGCTTTTTAAGTGGTGAATTAGAGATAAGAGTCTCAGACTTTCCTGCCCAGGCTGGCTTCCAACTATGATCCTCAGATCTCAGTCTCCTGAGTAGCTAGGATTACAGGCATGAGCTTTTGGTACATGGTTAATTTAAATCTTTAATTTGAGTAGTTGGCGAAATGAAACTGAAGAATAGGTAAGAAATTTCTCCAAGGTTATATGTGAGAATGAAAGGAGAAAAATCTTGGCCTGGCTTGTAGTGAGCTCTGCATTAAGGAACAGTTCTGTCCCCATCCTTTGTGGATGCTAGCATTCAGGAACGGGGAACCCGGTGGCAAGCAGAGTTATTTAACACTTTTTAAACCAGATAACCTTGCTCTCCATTTTGTGGTCATGTTCACCAAACTGCAAATCTTCATATGTAGTCAGTACTTACAGCAGCATTTGAAAACAGTGCCAAGTAAATTTACCTTGCATACGTGTTATGGTTATATGGTTCTAGCTTCATAAAGTGAGCCTTGTTTTTATTCACAGATGTAGTTATAAAAAGCCGGTAACATTTTTGTAACACGAATCATATTTTCAAACCAAATCCCAAAGACATTGTAGCTTCCTTGCTGATTTTCATCTGACAGAGGCTCTGAGCCCTTTAGCTTTAAGTGTCTGTGGCCCTCCGGTCTCACTGTCAAGTAGTTAATGATCTATAAACAAATACTGAGATGCCCTAAGGGGCTTCTCTATTTAAAGGGGCCTTGAATCATTTTATAATGAATATACAGTAGTCCACCCACTGATTTATGATTTGTCACTTAAGGATTTGAAGTGAGATTCTGCTGGTATTTTTTCAAATGAGACAAGTTTTTAATTTATTGTACAAAAGCACCGATTTTTTTTTGCAATTTTTTTCTTTAGCAGGAAAAAACTTCCAAAGATATTAATCTGGGAAGTGGAGCTGTAGCTCAAAGTTGTGGAGCCCTAGCCTTGAGCAGAAAAGCTCAGGGACAACACCTAGGATCTGAGTTCAAGCCCCATGACCACAGAAAAAAAGAAAAGAAAAAAAAATTAGTCTGTCTTGGCAGTTTCCAAGGTATTAAACACCAGTTTATTTGTATGTGTACAGTTGTACATTTTAGGCTAATAAACTAAAAGGGACTGCCAAGGGTCATAACATCAGAAAAATGATAACTACCAGTTACTGAGTTTGTCCTGGATAGCTCATACCTATTGTCTTATTTAAACAACAGTCCAAAGCAAGATTTAGTTTTTTTCATTCTTTAGCTGAGAATATAGTGTTGAAGGTTGGAATTTAGGTCCACAGTCACAGAACAGGCAGGTGGTACAACTTGAATCGAACCTACACTCAACAAAAACAACCCAAATCGTGCTTTGATCACAGTTTAAAAGAGGTTGGTGAGCAAAGGTTGGTGGCTCACACCTGTAATCCTGGCTACTTTAGGAGACATGAGGATCGAGGTTCCAAGCCAGCTTGGGCAAATAAACCACCATAAAGACTCAAATGGTAGAGTGCTGGCCTTAAACAGAAAAAGGTACAGGATATTGCCCAGGCACTGAGTTTAAGGCTTAGTGTAGATGTGAACACACACACACAAACACACACACACACACACAACACAGAGCAGGAAATGCCACACCTTGATATAAATGTAGCTGCTTCAGGTTATCTTTCTTTCTTTCTTTCTTTTTTGGGTCCGGTCGTGGGACCTGAACTCTGGGCCTGAGCGCTGTCCCTCAGCTCTTCAGCTTAAGGCTAGCGCTCTACCACTTGAACCACAGCGCCACTTCCGGCTTTTTTCTTTTTGCTTATGTGGTGCTGAGGAATTGAACCCAGGGCCTCAGGCATGCAAGGCAAGCCC